TCCCCCACAGAACCGCCATGCGTACGCTCACACGCATATAGGCAAGCGAGAACGAGGCGAAACACAGCGAGGACAACCTGCGGATATATGAATGACTCGAAATGACGTGCATTCATTGAGCTCGGCCTGGCGTGTAACCGTGTTGTACCTAACTCTTTTATACGTCTGTCTCGCACATTGGAATCTCGCGATCTCTGTCGCACGGGTAAGTTCTACCCAAGCAAGGACATGACACATTTCTGTGAGTCGAGAGAGACCAGAAGAGACTGTCGAGTGATGGATTCATCCTCGATTGGAGATGCACTGAGAAAAATTTCAATGGTAATTTCAGTAGTGACTTTTGGCGAGTTTTTGATGAATATCTTGGAATCTAAAAGAGATAGAACATTTTTTCTCATGACCTTATTTATAACCCGCAAGTGGCTCTACAAAAAAGGTAGTGACAAAAATTTTCCTATCTCTTTTAGATTCTGAGATAGTCGTCAAGAACTGACCAGTAGTCAAAATCGACTTAATCCGGTTTACCGCTTCGCTACTGATTTTAACTACAAGGGAATTGTCAGTAGTAATACCACGAGACCTCCAAAATTATCGGATATTTCCCGACTGTTTTGTTGCGTAGGGGAGGGTGTGCCTGTATCGCCCACCTAAGGGGAAATGCCAGTTTTATATTTTATATTTCAACTTGAGTATAAAAAACGTATTTGTGAGACTTCTTCAACCATTGAACTCGTTATTCTCGAAGTGCAGACGCCTAATTCTCCTTAGAATCCGCAAAATTGATTGAAAATTTTTTTGTCGATGTGGGGGAGAGAGTGATGACGAGGGAGCGGTGATAATTTTTTACGAGGAAAACATGCGCAAGTGGGAAAATCTGGGGAAGACGATAACAACAATTCCACTGGTGAGGAAATTCTCGATTGGCAATTCTTGAATGAAACCTGTCTTGCGGTTGAAAATTTATGATGAATAATTTATCGGTGCGAGGAAGGTTCTGATTTATTCAGAAATGCGCGAGGTAAACAGAGACATTTGTGGGGGTTCTCATCGGGGATTTTCTCGCTTTTTCACGCTGGAATTATTATTTCCTTAAGCTTTGAGAATAATTCAGCTGCGAAGTGAGCCGAGTTTTTGCGGAATATCTCCGAATCTAAGGGAGATAACGAAGTTTCCCTAATGACCTTTGTTGTAGAGCTAATCGAGAGCTACAAAAAAGGTCATAACGAAAATGCTTCTATCTGCCTTAGTTTCCGAGATATTAATCGAAAATTGGCCAATAGTCAAAATCCAGTTGAATTGTTTCGCCGCTTCGCTACTGAATTTCAATTGATCCATCCAGAGTTGTCGAGATTTATTGAATAAAGAAAAACATCCGAGAAATGATCGATCTATTTCTTTTTTTTACGATTATTAAATATTTTCACTCAATTCCCCCCTCAAAATTCATAAAAAAATTATCAAAATCACAGTAAATAACTCTATCTCCCGATATCTAATAACTGCATGTTCATCGGTGCTGAGATTCGACATGAATCAGCACTTGATCTCACGAAAAAAAAAAACCCTGAAGATTGAAAGCGTAAAAAACATCGATTTCCTGTTGGCGAGACAATAATCATCATTCGGAGGTCGTTGATGCGAATCAGTAGTAATTTCGAAACGACGACAGTTTCCATGAATGGCGAAACTGATTCCAATCGTCTCAGTCTTCGACCACTTGAATGAACCGACGACGTGGAAACCGGGGGAAAAAATTGATGGGGAAATAGAGATGGAATAAAAAAATGGCACGGCCGATAATCTCTCATGATTAAAAAAATGTGTATGTACAACACATTTGCACGATTTGACTTACATAAGGCCAACCAGCAGGCATAATCAGGCCTTTACCAGTGCGCTCGTTACGAGGCGTTTCCGTCTCCACTCGGCCTTCCTCGTTCATTCACGCAATACTAGATTATCAGTCTATCAGTCCAACAAATAGTACTCATTCACGACAAAGTTGGAAAATTGTTGACCCGAACATTTTTCTCGGTATTAATAAACCGAGTCACTATGGGATGTTTCAATTTTTTCCCGGAATTTTATCAAACGATTCTCCCGAGCAATCAAGCTTTTCAGTGCTTTTTAGTGCTTTGGTTTTACGAACATGTGTAGATCTAGATTTATCGACGACTACTTTTGACATTTATTTTTATTCAATTTTTATGTGATTTAAAAATTCTCTGGAGTATTTTCCGACATCACATTTTGTCATTTCATTTCTTCTATTTTTTCATGTCATGGTACTGTCATCAATTGAAATGTCATCAAAATTTTGCGTATTATTTAGTTCTGGTGTCAAATAATTCTACATTCAGACCCTCGCAAGACTCGAATTCGTTTTCAGTTCGGGTTTAATTGAGGTTCAATCAAGAAGCCATTGAAATATACTTTTCAAGCCCTGATTTCATTGCTATCACTGATGATTCTTTCAGTAATCATAAGAAACCGATTTTCTCTTTCAAATGGCATAAACAATGTGCTGTAACTCAACAACGAATTGTGCGACCCCCATCATATTCTGACAGAATCAAGAGGATATTGTAATCAATTTTCTGAGTCATGACTAAATCCATTTTGATGACAATTTTTTGACTGATCGTTGAAAAATCGATTTTTGGAGAATTTTTTTTTTTTTTTTTTTAATGCTTATTTTATATCGCTTCGAGTCTGATGAGACTATATGGCGATTGATCAAGACTTTAAAAATGGTTAGATCTCACCATTCTACCCGGCCAGGAATCGAACCTGGAACCTAGCCGTTGTGAGGCAACGGCCTTAACCACTACGCCAGGCCACCGGGATTAATTTTTTTTTTTTTTTTTTTAATGCTTATTTTATATCGCTTCGAGTCTGATGAGACTATATGGCGATTGATCAAGACTTTAAAAATGGTTAGATCTCACCATTCTACCCGGCCAGGAATCGAACCTGGAACCTAGCCGTTGTGAGGCAACGGCCTTAACCACTACGCCAGGCCACCGGGATTAATTTTTTTTTTTTTTTTTTTAATGCTTATTTTATATCGCTTCGAGTCTGATGAGACTATATGGCGATTGATCAAGACTTTAAAAATGGTTAGATCTCACCATTCTACCCGGCCAGGAATCGAACCTGGAACCTAGCCGTTGTGAGGCAACGGCCTTAACCACTACGCCAGGCCACCGGGATTAATTTTTTTTTTTTTTTTTTTTTTGGAGAAATATCAATTTTTTAAAATCTGTATGAAAAATTGAATTTTAATTGGTGTCAGTGAATAGCGCTTATTAAAGTCTATATTATTATTTATTTTTAACGGAATTCGTCGCAAGAGACATGCGACTGGCCATCGCCCGAGGGCCTTCAGCCTCGTATTTACAAGTTACATATGTACAATGTGTAAAACGCAGAAAATAAGCGAAAAGATAATAGGTAATTCAACCTTCAATTGGTTGTTAGCATTATATGCTTAAGATGAAAAAATAAAATGTTTGACATTCTCTTGGATGAGATGAGCGTGAAACAGTTTGGAAAATGTGGTGATGGTGATAAAGTCTATATTCTTGAGAAAATTCATGAAACTCGATTGATCCCTTTTAAGAAAATTGCCACCTATTAATTAATTAACATTAGAAGCTCCCATTCAGAACAAAAATGTAAAATCTCGATCCCTCGAAAAAAAATCCCATTCTTACCGCAGCAAAGGGCGCCCGGTTCTTCATGTCGCGAAAATGACTAAAGTTACTACTCCCAGGGAAATAAAAAGGGACAATGTAAGTCGCTCAAGTTTCCTCTCCCATTCATACTAAATCCGGAAGCAGGAAGTATCCAAACTCGTAAAACGTGCCACCAAGAAACAGTATCCGCAAATCAGAATGTGCGAGGGTCAGAACTTTTGTCGTGGCGTGAGGGAAAAAATCTTGATACGTTGTGAAGAAAAAAAAAACGGTATCCTGAAATAAAGCCGGAAGTACTCAACATACAGTTCTCGAGGATTTCTTTAAAAACTTTATTTAATCCGCTTTACCTCGATCACTCCCCGTCCGCTCTCAGGTGCATAGTACGGGAAAAACACTCGGTCATTTGAATATTTTCATTGAAGAATTGTTTTTGTCTCCATATGGCATAGCCATTTTTCCATTTTATTTTTTTTTCAGTTCTAAATTTTTTAAAGTTAATATATAAATTAAATTTTCATTAATGCATTTGTGTATTAATACAAATTTAATTCATATAATAATGCCTTAATAAATTAAATAAAAAATTAATGCATTCATGAATCAAATTCCCAAAAAAACATGAAATTTTCATTAATGCATTTTTGGGCGCTTTGGATAATTATATAACACAAAAAACCAAAAAAATTAATTTAAACGATTACAAAACCTCTATTCGACACCAAAAAACTGCTGAAATGTGGGAAAAACTTTGCCGCCATCTTCCTTGAGTCCCCCCTCTACCGCAAGAGGCTCCAAAGATGGCGGCGTCACCACCTCGCATTTTCAAACATTTCTTTCACGCATTTATCCCCATCAAATCACCCTCAACTCACCTCATCCACCTCTAAAAAGTGAACAAATTTTTTAAGCCCCCTTTCAGATTTCTCGATCCCCTCTCGGCTGAGAATTCACACCGCAAAGTTTTCCTCTACTCCTGATGCCTCCTGAAACCAAACGTTTCGTTCCGGGGAAAAACAAGACACAAAAATGCTCCAAACCTGATGAATAAAATCAGTAAATTTATTCTCATGCACGAAAGATCGAAACAATCCACCAAACTCCCATTATCACCAAATTTCACATTAAAGAATACATCACAGCGAATTGTTTCCACCCCTCTACATCCACCGTACAAATGAAAACAAAAAATAACGTATAAATCGATGCAATTAGTCGACTGAATTTCGTATCAAACAATGATTTATTATGTTCACCACTGGCTGTAGCCTATCTACTCTGATCTATCTATCGGGAAAATTTCCCCCGAAACACGCAGAAGCCTTAAGTACCACAGGCCCCTCAGCTGTTCGTACTTCTCCACTCGTACCACGAAAGCACTTAATCATTGTTCTTAAACCTTCCTCACCATCTTCACATGATTATTATTCTCGTAAATGAAAAATTGTTCATTGTCCTTATCCCCATTAAGGCTCGGCTATTTACAATTAATAGGTATGACGTGGAAAAATGAGGGGTGACGTGTCTTCGTGGAACAAGGGGCAAACGTGATTGATGAAAATAAAGGAATTGAATGGAAAAGAGCAAAAACATGAATGAATCGGCTGAGGAAGGTCGAGAGAGGATGACGTGGTATTAAGAGGAAACCAATCACTAATTTCAGTCAGCCGTCACAAAGGTGTTCACGCAATTCTCGGTTTTATTGTGTCGATTCATTGGCAATGATTGCATTCCCCCGCGATGTGCCCTGACACTGTCGATTTGCTCATTTCCTCATTTCTGCTCCCTTGTTTATCCTTCAGCGGTGCAGGCAGTAGTTTATTTATTTTTTTATTGTTTATTCTTGTTGGGCTGGAGATTCACATGTTGAGTGAATCCACTCGTGATGATTATTCGGGAATAAAAAAATTGCTTGGAGGCCACGGTTTTCAGGGCTTACAGAATTTGGAAGAGCTTCTTCAGTTCTAGCATCAATTGCCAGTCGGTCTTCACTAGATCGTCCCGGAAGTAATCTTTGCAGGCGTCTATACTCTGTCTGCTTATCTGTAACATGAAGAGAACGAGATTTTTTGAAATATAAAAAAAATTTTTTGAAATAAAAAAAAAATTAACGTTGGGGCAATGTCGGCTGCCAACGTTGGGGGAATGCTGGCTACCAACGTTGGGGCAATGTTGGCTGTCAACGTCGGGGCAATGTTGGCTGTCAACGTCGGGGGAATGCTGGCTAGCAACGTTGGGACAACGTTGGCTGTCAACGTCGGGGCAATGTTGGCTGTCAACGTCGGGACCATGTAGGCGGGAAGGTCAATGAAACACTCCGAGGCGTCAGATATGTCGAAATGAAAAATTTGGATTTTCACCCGGGCCCAAAGGGGGGGGGGGGTATTTGGGTTTTTCCAGGCCGAAAGTCCACTTTTTGCCCAAGACATTGGGGTAATGTCGGCAGTCAATATCGGGAGAATGTTGGCTGCCAATGTCGGGGCAATGTTGGCGTAATGTTGGGCATCACCATTGGAGCAATACTGAATACAATGAATTTTTAAATTCAAGTTACAATACCTCGCAGTCAGTATAAAAATATACTGACTATGTTGTGACGAAGGCAATTTCCCACTTGTTGTCTATAGAACTAGGTTTCTCTATGAAATTCATTCGTGCGTGAATAGACTTCCACCTTTCCTAACCCCCTAGCGACCCCTTCGCGTGGGCACCCCCAATAGCAGCCCACAGGATTCCAAGAATATCCCAAAGCCATTGCGTAAGCGAACGGGTAATACCACAAAATCGCGTGTTTGTGTGTCTCTCAGCTATTAAACAGCCATAACCCTACCGACCGTGTTTTCCCAGTTTCACAACCCCTCGGGTTCAATTTCCAACCCCACACGAGTGTCACAAGTGGCGTGGGTGATTCCAGAATGTCATTGGTGCCCATAACCCTCACTTGTCATTCCAAGCGTGGGATGTTATCACAATCAGCCAATAGCCGACTTCCAAGGATGTTTCTTTTCGCCAATAAATTCAGTATCAGAACAGTCAGCCCCATTCTTAGCGCCCCAAGGCCTCCTGGAGCTGTGCCATCTCACGTGGGTCGTGATGAGTCGTTAAACAAGTACAGAATAGCTCCAGTTGGACTCAATCGGTTCAGTCGACGATGTAAAAAATTGGACGGGGGTGTGAGAGTGTCTGCACGGAGAAAAAAGGTGGAGAAAAATTACCGAACAAGTCAAGTAATGGTGGCGAGAGAACTCGATTAACCCTAGATTGGTCACCATGCGAGGGAATTGCCGCAACGTGTCGTTTTTTTCGTCTTGTCAAAATTTCAATTCGTCAATTAAAGTATCTGGAAAATTTTTGTATTGTTTTTTTAATATTACATCCCAAATTCTGGAAGGAAAAAAATCATTTCCAACAGTTGAACAATTTTTTCACATGTTAAATGAAATTGCCCGCTGCGCGACGTTGCTGGAAACTCGTTAAACGCGCCCGGGCAGTGTAGAGTGAATTCGGCAACGCTGGAGCCTGAATAACACGGCGGCAAAGCCCCGCGGAGGTGACCAGAGTCGCAAGTTCCCGTTAGGTGACCAAACTAGGGTTAAGAGTACTTTTTCACTAACGGGGAAAAAGTGCGAGACGAGTAGGGAATTTTTCTCCGTTGGCTCGGAAAAATTTACTCAACATGAAGGTAGTTTGTGCCGGAACTGTCAAATTTATCATTCATTCCATCAAAAATTATCCCAGTGAATGTGAATGATCGTGAATGATTGACAAAATATAATTGAATTGGGTATATTATACACTCGAATCAAGAATAATATACTTGAATTTCGTGCCTGAACGATTACCTTTCGTACAGCAAAATTTGCCAGGACTTTCTAGGTAATTTTTATCCAACTTTTCTCTTCGTGTGGGAGGGCAGGAATTCCTCGACAAAAACCAACGAATCCAACGCCAACGCGTGGGTGCTGGGGGTGGATTCTCCAGCTGACTCTCGACCTCGGGATGAAAGGAGCTCTTTCATATTACCATGCACCGCCCCCTTGTTACGTAATGGAGGGGGATCGATAAGGCGGAATGAAAGGATTTTAGGGGTTGTCGCGATATGAAGTCACTCGAGGGGGCGAATGCTCCGTCCTGCGGAGGCAATTTCAGGAGATGTCTAGGGAATAATGGGGGTGTGGGTGGGGTATAGACTGGATTCAAGATTAAGAGTGAGTATTTTCAGTTTAGTACGGTAATCTACGAAAATTATTTAAAGAAAATGCTCGTGATTTTCAAAAAAATTGAGATCCTTAAATTATTTTGTCAATCTTCTTCCAAAAATTGACGATATAATTTTTTTCAGTCTTTAAAAATATTTTCTAACAGTGCAATATCGATGTTCAACTTCAGACCTGCAAAGTTTGAAGAATAAAATCATTGCAAAATATCCGGGAACTCAGGCATTTCACAGAAGAAAAAATAGTCAAACTACTCGAATATCGGTAATTCGTTTTGCCGCTCCGCTTTGAATTTTCCTCTGCAAACGAAAAAAAAAAATAACGGAAGTCCTCGAATTGAAAAAAAAATGCCGATTGCATCCGCCTAGATATCGCCGACTCACTTTACCGTGAACGAAATTCGTAACTTTTGAATCGGGGTGCGAAAAAAATGTGATGACAATTAAAAAATCGAGTGAAAAAAAAAACTGCACCCACGGCGAGCAGCGGAGGGGTGAGCGGAGTGAGACACTCGGCGTTCTCAATAGCGTCCGTAAAACTACCATTGTGACCGATTCATGAATGAAACGGGACTTCCGGTGTGCGGCGGGCACTCCGGCGTTGGCGCGGGTGGGGACGGAAACAGTTGTAGAGCGTTACGTTGTAATGCCCCGATGAATGGAGGACACGAACCGTTTTCCTTCACTTCACCGCCAGAAGCTGTACCAAAAACCGGCTTTGACAATTTCACGCTTTGCCTCACCATTTCTCTCCTCTCTTCAGCCATTTCCCCCCTCCCTCACTCTCTCTCTCTCTCTCACTCTCTCTCTCGTCTCTCGTTTTTTCCCCATCGATAATCACACCAGCTGCTCGATTTATAACTAAACCCAGGAGAAGTGCTCTTCATTCATAAAATTCGCGGCAAAGTCGAGTGTAAATGAGATAGAGATAAGAAAAAATTGATAAGACAGGGAGATAACCATTCGCTTTATCTTGAACGAGTGGCCTTGGGTGGAGTCATTGATGTCGTACGATATTTTTCAGTAACTATATTTCCCGAAAATTCATATAAAAGATAAAAGCTAAAATTTATTGACTATGTTGCACCGAAAACAATTTCCCCGCTTGTTTCGATTCTTCATTAATTCTCCTCCCTCATTTTTATCAACAATTTTTACAAGTACAATTTCCGCCAAACAAACATAAATTTAACGATGTGAATCAATGCATAAACATCCCAGCACTTGTCTCAAACAATTTCCATCAAAATTCATAAACCCAAATTGTCAAAAATTCCAAACTAACATTTCAACATTCAAGACATCTCCCAAGGCATTTGTACTCATCATATTGACCAACCGGATAATCTCTCATCGCCGATGAATCCCCCGGATTGTCACTCGGCAATCGGCTTTGCCCATCGAAAATGTTTTTTCGAAACCCGTGAAGAAATTAGAGTGAGACTACTCGAGAATACGAATGATCGCCGTGGGAACGTCAAGACTTCCGCCCCTCCCCCCCCCCCCCCGTGTGCGAGAGCTGAGGACAGACGGTTTCCTTCTTAACCCATCACCATCTCCACGTCTCTATTATTTTTGCCGGCCCCCCTTCATAATATAATTCAATTACCGGGTATTTCAACACCTCGCGAGAGACAAGATCACCAGCAGCGATTACTCGAAACATAATTCTCCTCTCCTCTCGTTCCCTCAGTCTCAGGGTTTTGTTTTTGATGGAATGAGGAATGAGTTCCATTCGGCTGCGCACGACTTCTTAATTTCCCCCCGCTCTCTCTCTCTCCCTCTCTCGCTCGCTTTTTTTCTTCTCTTATTTTTTTTTCATTGTATGAATGTTGTTATAAAGTCTTGGGTACATGAGCGGCGTCACGGGGCCTTAATATGCGGGGCCTCGTTCGGAAAAGGAAGATGCACATCCGGCGACCACCTGTCTACACTCTTCCGGCGTATATCTAACTTCCTGCCTTCGTGGTAAGTCTATCTTCACGCTTTTGTCTTCTCAAAACTTCATTTTATTATGAATGGGAGGGGGGGTCAATCACGCTAGACTTCTTGGGAGATGAAGTGGTAGTTTGAATGGAAATTTTATGCGTATGGGGGACGATGCAGTGGGAGAAAAGGAACAAGTTCTTTTAAATTTTCGTATTACGATAAATGATTTGCTCGTAATTCAATTAATCTGTTGTTCGTCTCATCAATATAATTCCGTACGATATTAATATTATTTGTTCGAAGTGAAAAAATCGATCATCACTATATTGCATTCAGATTCTCCTAGTCTTAACGTCAAAAATGTGAGATAATCTCATAATTCTAGCTATTAATTCTAATCAACTTTGTTCGAAGAAAACCTCAGTAAACGCAATATTAAGAAAGTAGAGTTATTCTATTTTCCTCTGACCTAAATTATTTGGACAATTATGATTCGTTTATTCATGTTTCATAGAATAGTATTCAATTCCCTTTTGTTCGTTATGCGGGATTCATGAAAATTCTACGCAAGACGATTGCACTCGTGGAAACCGCCTTATTTTCTCCATTCGTTTGAGATCTCCGCTATGTTCGAGCTCTCATTTTCGATTCCGTAAATATGGCACATGTTTTTTTTTGGATTTCTGGAATTCAATGGTTGTTGATATACTCTGGTAAAAGTGCGTGCCCACGCTGTCATCAATTTTTAGTCAGTTCACACGGTAATTAAATTAATCTATTGTTCATCTCATCAATATAATTCCGTGCTTAGAATATTGTCATCTCGTGTTTTCAGCAGCAAATTAAAAATCAAAACTTCAGTCGGAATATTGAGTCACAGCTTCTTTTTATTCATATC